TTGGGGTGGTCTGAAATGCGAAATACAGTATGATAACATTTCTGTAACTACAGAGTAGGCAACAAAGCTCAATCTCTGCATGGGCGCCTACCAGCAAGTAAAACAAAAGCACAAGACAAAGCGCATACAGACACCCTTGAAGCACTTGAAAGCATAAGCCAGGACGCGCAGAACAGCTACACAAAGGAAAGAATATCATTATCAAAAGGCAGCAAGTCCATCTATGAATGGATTTCATTGGCCACGTACATGAACTCAATGGTGTTTCTCAGAGGTGTGCCTGCACCATTCCACCTAATGAAAAAACAATTAATTCTAAGTGCATAGATAACTAAATGAAAAAAATATTAATGGGACTAAACCTAAATCATTTTGGTGTCAGTTCTCAATGTAAAAATTTAATGGAGTAAATATTTAAGTAAAGAAGTATTGGTTACCCACAAATTGGTACTACGGACACAACCAATCAAAGTAGATCTGAATTTTTTTATATAGACTATCATTCAAACATTTGGGGTCGATACAATTTTTTGGAAAGAAGGCTCTTATGCTGACAAAGGCTGTATTTATTGAATCAAAAATACAGTAAAAACATATTAGCCAACTTACTTGGGCTTTATTGGGTCAAAGGGAGTCTCTTCCAGGAGATCATAGATATAGTTGTTGTAAATCTCAATGTAAGAGACAAAGACACTGTAGCTGCTATCTTCATCCACTTCACCTGCCTTACAAGCCTCCTCTGGACTGATCATGTCAGCAAACTCAGGGTCAATTCGCCTACAAAACAAGAACAGCATATAAACTCACTATATTTAATTTAAAACAGATCAGGCAATTTGTAACTTTAAAGGTGCAATAGGTGATGGTCTTCAGAAATTGTTTTTTTGTAATGCTGGTTGAAAGTCTCTTCACATCCCGATAGCAATCATTAAATTAAGTGGTCTAAATGTATTTGTCTGTATTTGTATATTCTGTGGAAGGCGCAGGATCAAGAAATGTTTGTCCAATCAAAACTCGCACTGAGCGTTTTAATATGCTTTCCTACCTGCCCGTCAACGTATGTATTAGCATACCTCTGAGCACCCTGTTCGCAGCAGACAGGATACATCATCAGCGCGTTTACGCATGCTGTGCAGACTGCAGACAGAGCGAGGATGGAAGGCAAACATCAACAACCCGATCTTCCTTCCTGGTATTGTAGTACTTTTAAAGTTAAAAACCAGCGGTTAATCCAGTCCTCGCGCTAGCTCGTTAGAAGTGAGCTACCTGCATGAACTGTGATCGATATGATCCCTACAGTGTTCATTGCTCCCTACTCCCTGAGCGGGTGAAATCCGTTTAAGTTTACATCACTTCGGAACATGGGCTGGAATTGGGAACTACTGATGTAGCCTATTGTAGGAATGTTGTCTCTGGTCTGAGAGCGTAAATGCGTTCGGGGGCGTGGCTTTGGACGGCGATTGCAGGGAGGGTGGGACGTTCGCTTTCAGTGCTGTCAGGCTAAAGTTAGCATTTTCCAAGATCTCCTACTGCACCTTTAATTACTTGAATTAACCTTGTTGTTGGGGTCTTTGGTACAGATGTCTGGCTGTCTCGCTTCTGTCGGTCCAAGAGCGCATCTACCTGATTCTGTACCTCCATGCCATTTTTATCATCAGGCTTGAAAACCTGATGAGGGAAACATCAAGATAGCTCAAGGATGGAAAATTAATTTTACATAACTGAATAAAAGTACTTGATGAATTTGCTTACATATCTCTTGGCCTGGTAGGGGCCGATGCTGTTGAAGATCATGTCGAGTGAACGTGGGAGCAGCCCACCTTGACCAGGTGAGCCAGTCATTGTGTAAGTTTTACCACTGCCAGTGACACCGTAGGTGAACAACAGACCTAGTTTAAAAAGAAAACTGCTGTCAGTCGGAGTGTTTTTAAATAATAAATCATCATCATCATCTACAAGCACACAGAAAAGTATATTTACCATTTTTACAGTGAATGAGGTCTTCTACTAGAGGTTTGGCAACATCTGCAAATAATTCCCTCTGTGTCGTTTTAATTCCAAACACTTTTTTGAAGGAATATTGTGTCTAGAAGACAATTATAGTTCATCATAGTTAAAGGGATTATAACACATCAATATGTAAATGAACATCTAGGAAGCACATAATGAGTTGTATTAGCAATATTTCAAAGTATAAAAACGCAACCAACAAACCTCCAATACTTCATTTCATTGTACAAAAATTAATTGAAAAAAGAGGCTTGAATAACTGTTCCCAACCACTACAATATGGAAATAACCATAACTTTTGCTGTACATGCAAAAAAAAGTTTAAAGATTCTTACATCAAAATACATTTACTTAAAAAGCAAAATTACATGTCTTGTTTTGAGAAATTGTGAGTTTATGCTTAAAACGAACAAATATCTGCCAGCGGGCTCAGAAAAATACACTTAATTTAACTAGTTTTAATACCCCATTAAAAGATTTGATTAAATTATCTTATTGTTCAATTCCTCAGAAAACAAGGCTTCATATCTTTATTATGCATCTGCAAATGTAATGCCACAACTTTATGAATTTAAGACTTAAGGCCAGTGTTGGGAGTAACGCGTAACAAAAGTAATGCATTACAATAACTGATTACTTTTTGCTGTAACGCAGTAGTGTAAGGCATTACTAATTCGTTTTCAGTAATATTTTACTCGGTACATGTTCAGTAACGCATGCGTTACAACGCACGTTTAGCCTAAAATTTAATTGTTCAAAGAAAATAAAAAAACAGCAAGACTGCGAGATATTAACGAATCAAAAATGCCGCAAGTAAGTTCTATTTCCTGTTCGTGGTCAGTCAATAGCCGCGTGTGGTGTCTAAGTTTGTAAATAAAAACTAATTCTTGTCATGGCATTAGAGTTTACATATAGTCCTGTTGTGTCTAATATGAATAGACCCAAGCTATTCACAGATATTGCCAGATAATCACTTTACCTCTACCATACTTTTAACAGACTTGTATCGTTTGCGATTCTGGCTGTCATCCTTTCTTGCATTGTCTTGAGCCTTCACTTGGCCAATTATAGCTATATTGTTAGTAGCCTGGACAGCCCACAGTCATTATGCTACACCATATATCCTCTACTGGATATAAAATGCTCTGCAGTACATTTTGTCATTTTAGAATGTTAAGTTCTACTTCTGTAGTTATTTTGGTGAAAGCAACTCAAAAGTAATACAGGAGTCATGTAACGCATTACAGTTCTGAGACAGTAGTGTTGTAAGGTAAGGAATTACTTTTAAATAACAGTAACAAGTAATCCATAATGTATTACAGTTTGGAAGTAACTTGCACAACACTGCTTAAGGCCTGTTCACACCAAAGACGATAACAATAAAGATATAGTTCCAGAAATCGTTCTCAATTTTAAAGAATAGCAGAGTCCACACCACAGCTATAACGATAAAGGCACAGAGAAACAACATCATTGGAATCACTTTCAGAACATTTTTTTTCTCCAGCTGATGAACAATAAAAAACTAACAGCCAATCACAATCAATCCTGCTATAATGAGCTTGATGTTAAAGCGGCAGACGAGCGTACACTTGGAATAAACAGACAATATCGTCCGCTGGTGTGGATGCTAATATAGTTATCGTTCTTGGTGTGAACGGGCCTTTACAATGTAAGATCTATTTAAGGCCTTAGTTTATGGAAGGGCAAATTAACACCAAGACCCACATAAACCCTGCATAAGCTTCAAAGGGATAGTTTTGTTTTCATGTTGTTCTAGACCTTGACCTTTTCAAGCAGCACAAAAATGATACAAAGTTTTGCAGACTCAAAACAGCAAACAAGTCATACTGACCATGTTTATGGTGCTTTTACTGGCACTTTTAAAGTTTAGCAACCCCAATACTTTCATGATATAGAAAAGTGCTACCAATAAACAAAATATGCCTTTGTGTTGCACAGAAGAATAAGGCAAACAGGATTGGAGAGGTATGACATAACTCCTAATAAAAATTAGAAGAAAACTGTGTTTTAAATCATCCTAACTGGCAATATGAGAGCAGACAGGCACTCACCTCTTTGAATTCACCATTTCTGTTGGCTTTGAGCCCATCAGGGGCATGTAACTGAATGGTGGTGTTGCTTATAACCTCGATACAGCATTCCTCATCTTCTGCACCCAGTGGCCGCACGCGACAATACACCTGCAAACACATATCGAATTAATATGCTGATCATGACTGTCATTACCCTAATGAGAACAAAAAGTTACAACATACTCCAACAGGGTCCTTCTGGTTGTTGGAAGGCTTTTTTGGAGGGCGGCGGGGGGTCTTGCCCTTCCTGTTACAAACCGGAAAATTCATACATCACTCAACAAACAAGTAATGTTATAGTTCAAGTAAAACGAGCATGGTTGAAAGAGAATCCCAACTATCTATACACTTTCGGAGTTATGATAGGAAAATGCAATAAGCTCATTACATCACTGATTTTTACCAACATAAACAACATAACGTAACGTTAAACAACATAACGTTAGTTGATAATAATAGGGATAACAAATAATCAAACTACTGCTATAAACAGAAAACGTAAGACGTAAAGCGGGATTATGAGCTGAGCCTGAAGTACAAACAATGGATTAATAGCGTGAAAACGCGACGGGCGGTGAGTAACGTTAACACTAACTAGTTAACAAATGTCTGCTAAAACCACTCAAAGACTTTCATATGAAAACAAACTCGCTTATATGTTAATAAACGGGTCTTTAAAAATGCGTTATCGGTCTAATATAACTACAGTAGAAAATGGGTATAAAACACTTACGCTTGCCTAATCATGTTGAGGTGTTTTAGTTTAATTCCGCGACGCCGTTGCCTATACAAAATTCGATGTTCAAACGTTCCCTCCACTGCGTCAGTAACAGATTTTTCAAATGTGACCAATCAGCAAGCTCAGCCACGCTTTAGACGACCGGATGTCCCGCCCTAAGCTCCGCCTGATATTCTGTTGACAATTTCCGGTTTATCCGGAGAAACAGCATTCTACAAAAGAAGGCAGGAAGTCCAATCAAAAGTACTTTCAATAAATTACCAATTCAATAAATTTCAATTTATTCACATTTCACATACAGCCAAAACAATGAGTTAAGTTTTTCCCAAAAAATTTGAAATAACCCAAAACACTTACTCTATAAAAGAGAGGGATGTTGTCAAAGAGATATGGATAGATAAAGGCGATTATCCGTAGACATTTACAGAGTTTCTGATTTAATTTCCCAGAACACCTAAAAGAGAATACAGTTTATTTACTGAATTTTTTTTTGATGTCAAGACTAAGCTGCAAAGTGAAATACAGAAATTACCTTTTAATGCTGTGATAATTATAATCAAAAAATGGTAAACCAAGTCTAAAAACGAAGAAATACAAGTGTTTAGTCCTTAAAATGTTTTTTTTTTACCATTTAATACTATTGAGGTCAAAATCCACAAAGCAGGTTAGAATATATCAACTTTTGATTTATTAATTACTTATCCTACCTTGAGTAGCAGGCCAGTGCAGTGGATATTACAGAGTTGACAACAGCTATAGGAACATAATATTTGTGAAATGTGCTATTAACCCATTTATCTGGAAATGAGTAAGAGGAGTAGGTGATGGCAGACCCTGTTGTTGATCAATTACACAAATAAACAAAAAAGTTAGGTAAATTAAGACATAAGTATATAACTATATTTTACCCAATAGTTCCTCTACATACCAAGGCTGTAGAAGCTGAGTGCTCCATAATCAAAGAAGAAGCCGATGTGCCTGGCTCGTTCTGACATGGTACTGAAGGTATAAGCACAGCTGGAAGCAAGTGGGTACACACAGCATGACAACAGGAACACCAGAAAGGGCATCCTTCACCAACACTACCGTCAGCAGTTTCCATAAGAAAAACCTTGCTAAAAAATAAATTTCTTTACATTCTAAAAACTCAAGCATGAGTGCATGAAGCATGAAGGCATCAATGCTCTTGCAATAAAAAGTATTTTTAGTAGAAATGGACTTTTCTACTAATTAATTCATAGGAAAACCTTTCTTTGAATGAACAGTGTATCCTTCAGGTCATGGTGTATGTTGTCTTTGATATTTTTAGACTATTTTATGCATGCTTATAATGGAACCCATTCCTGTCATCTTGCCTATATGTAACTGTTTGCTCATAACTGGAGTCACTTAATCATGCAGATTTATTACAGTAAGAAAGTTATTTCCCTTAACCAGGAAATTAACATTCTTAGAATTGACAGACAGTTGACCCTGAGAGGTCAAGTAAATATCTACAGCGGATCTAAATGTTTATAATTAATTATTCATATTTCCCTTATGAGCTGATTCGCAAAGAAAGGGGCTTTCTTCTAGTGGGTATACCGTTCCCCATAGCAACCCCTAGAGGACGCAGCTCGAAGTTCCCATGAAAGGGAATGTCTCAGGTTACTTATGTAACCATGGTTCCCTGAGTAGGGAACGAGACACTGCGTCCTCTAGGTTTCTTGCCATTCTGCAGATGCAAGCTTCAGACGAAGAAGTGAATGATGTGTGCTCCCGGCGCCTATTTATACTATAGTCGCACCGGTAGTGACGTCATGGCTGTCGCCGGCCAACGAGTTGGTGTTTTTTCAATGTATGCTTCAGACACGGGTCACGATGAGGCGTTTCCCATAGCGACCCCTAGAGGACGCAGTGTCTCGTTCCCTACTCAGGGAATCATGGTTACATAAGTAACCTGAGACGTTTAATTTGTTAGCTGGAATAGACAAAGCACACAGTCTTTCGCAGAGCTGCATGGGTGGCGATACCCTGAAATGATACCATCCTCATGGAAGACCTATACAATGAAACAAATAGTCATTTGAAAATCATATTTATCAATTTAATGTATCTGCTTTAATAGTTCAAGACTGACATGATAAGTATACAACCAGTATACAACACATTCAACATTGCAAAACAATGCCATTTCTTGCAAATTAACATCAGCATTGAAAAACTTACTTTTGGAACTTGGTTGATGGTGAACACTTGAGGTAGCTTGATGAGATTGAGCATAGTAGAGAAAGGCTCCAGAAATCACAAGGTGGAGAGACCATCAGCCATCTAAAGAGTTCCTTGATTCTTTGTGACTGCTGGACTTCTTCTCTTTAGTGTTCTTCTTTATCATAATATCTCACAGTCCAGTCACCAACTCAGGATGTTTCTATAAAACTCCTCCCTAAGTGTGCCTATGAGATTTAACCATTTCAATACAACATTTGAAATCCATAAATCTTAAATATAAAGCTGTTTATGTGGAAAAACACATGAAAACTAATTCAAATGTAAGAACGTGTTGCTGTTTAACTAAACACTTCTCCAACAGCCTTTCATTAAGCTGTTATGAGCATCAGTGCAATAGACAGGGTTATCTAACCCTAGTCATAAACCTTGTGGCCGCAATTTTACCTGCCTGAATAAACACAAATGTAATCATTAAACTCTATTATTCTCATATTTATTCTGACTGAAGAACGGCTACCTGAAAATCACCATCTCTACCTCAAAATCAAAAGTGTTAGTAGAACATTAACTTAGACTGGGAAGGGGAGCAGAGGGGGAAAAATCACATAAATCTTTACCAGCTGAATATACAGTAGCTTGACACTTTTATTGTTAGGCAGTAAAACCTTCAATAGATTAATCATTGTTCAACAGAAAATTGAGGGATGTGTTAAATCCTAAAGATAACATGTGACTGGTGTATCAGAGCTCATATTGTGGGGAAAATGTATTCCATAGAATACATGAATATAAATAAACCTCATATTGGGTCCCTAATCTTTGTTGTGTGCAAAGAGCACAAAAATACTTAAACTGATAATATAACAAGTAAATGTAACTAATTACCTGCATCGGGCAATATCATTATATAGTGAATAATGATGAAGTACAGTTTTGTTGCATTTGGTGGCTACAGTAAACTAGAACACTATGAACTTGGCACAAAAAAGTCAAAGCATACATGTTTATGTGTGGAAGAAATGTTTTAACCTTTATACAGGCTATGGTTTTAACTAGTGAATCCAAACAAACATGTACTTCATGAAAGCAGTGATTGTTTTTAGCATACGCATTTCAAATAGGCTACTGATTGTTTTACAGAGAGAGAGAAAAAGTGTTAACATCACACCAAAGCTGATATATTACAAAAATATTATTTCTGTGCACACAACAGTTTATACACTTTTAAAGTAAAGCTCATCAATCATAATGAATAACACGTGGATCAAGTTTACACTGAAAATGCCAGGCAAAATTATTGAATAATTATTTGTCCTTCATAGCGGTTGTAAAATATAAAGACTGCGAATCAATGACATAGCCTACCTAATAAAATGCCTACCTACCATTCATTAAAAAACTTAAAAAAATTCCCCAAAAGACAGCCGTTTTTATTAATATACCTTTAGATGTATATGTGCTTTCGACGTTTAGTGTGTTAACTGAATAAACAACATACAGTGAATGTTTGATTTTTCCCTCCTTAATGAGTAGCGAGTGGGAGGGGAAAACATGCCTTTCTTTGTTTTCGTTGGCTGTAGGTCCCTGTGGGCTTCTGTGATTGGCCAGCAAACACTCATGAACGCGCCGTATCCAAAACGCTACAAGCACAACGCTACGCCCATCAAAGAAGTGGTCTACTTTTGCAGATGTTAGTAGTGTCTTTTTAAAAAGATTTTTTTAATCTAAATTATATTGGTATATATAAAATATTGGTTTGAACTGAGACGGTGATCAACATTCTATAAAGGTTAAGCACCTTTTTCACTGACCAATTGCAGTTGAGTTTTTAGGCACTATGTATGTTTGTACACTAAACAGCGAAGGTGCCAGGAATTTATGAATATTTCTAGCGCAGTATATTTTCGTATCTTTGAAAAATAAACATTTAAATAAACTAAAGGCATATTTAAAATAATAATAATAATAATAATATATCATGTGCATGATTTGCTCAAAGCATGTGAATACTTGCCAACATTTAGTGGCATCTAGTGGATACATTCTGTATTGCGCGCAACGATTACAAAACAGTCGGTTTCATACGTCACTGAATGTAGTCAAAATACATGTTTGTGCACATGTCGCGGTGTTGACCTCTGAGGATTCCCCGATCTGGCGGTGAATGTAATGCAGATCGTTTTACATTTGCAGGTAAGCAAGAAAGTGCATGATTCCAGTCGATCGGATCGTATCTACAGTTTATCTTTATGTGTAACAGTGGTGCATTTGACATGTTTTGTTGACCTCTTTCAAGCAGAAAGTAGACTTTAAATGGCGCGAGGAAGGGCTCGGACAGATTCCTCTGCATCGAAGCAGACGATGAACGTCAATGCAAAGAAAAGAGCGAATGAAGAACAACATCAAACACTCTCCAAGAACCTGAAAGCCAAACAAGAAGGCAAGACAGCATCAAAAACGGGTGAGCAAATCTACGAGTTATGAGTAATTCCAAAGTTTTGTTTAAATATGCAAAAAGTTTCATTTATGAATGGAAAAAACGTTTTCCATTCACCAACCAGTCACAAATATACATTTTCTAAAGAGCTCATCTGTATTTGTGTAATGTAACAGAAACCTACATACAAGCAAGTGTCAAATGGATTGGAGGTCAAAAGAAAGTAGGCCAAACAAGTATCCTTCACTACATTTACAAAAGCTCCTTGGGACAGAGCATCCATGCTCAACTGCGCCAGGTGATGACAAGCACATAACACAGGCAAACAACTTCAAACATTACAGTACTATGTAGCAACTCTTCCTTGTGTTATAGTGTCTGCAAGAGCCTTTTGTACGCTCACTTGGAACCTACAAACTTCACCGCACAGCAAGTCCCTTTGATCGGAGGGTCACTTGCCTGGAATGGCATCCCACCCATCCCACCACTGTTGCAGTGGGCTCCAAGGGTGGAGACATCATCCTGTGGGATTATGATATGCTGAATAAGAGAACTTTCATACAGGGGGTGAGATTAAGCTGAACTGAAGTGAAGAATATACTGTTCAAAAAGAAGACAAAAAGTATTTGGACACTTCCTAGTTGAATCTGCAAGCATGACTCAGGAAAGTGAAGTTACTTTTTAAAAATGTCTAGCGTCATTTGTTTGCAGATGCAACTTGGTTTAATATTTATCTAATGCAATGACATACATACAATTTAGGTGTCAGTTAAGTGTCCAAATAAGGGCTCCAAGGGTGGAGACATCATCCTGTGGGATTATGATATGCTGAATAAGAGAATTTTCATACAGGGGGTGAGATTAAGCTGAACTGAAGTGAAGAATATACTGAATATACAAAAAGTATTTGGACACTTCCTAGTTGAATCTGCAAGCATGACTCAGGAAAGTGAAGTTACTTTTTAAAAATGTCTAGCGTCATTTGTTTGCAGATGCAACTTGGTTTAATATTTATCTAATGCAATGACATACATACAATTTAGGTGTCAGTTAAGTGTCCAAATACTTTTGGGATTTCAGTAATATCAAATTATTTAGAAATGTATACTGTTTTCCTCTGCAGTATAGTTTACTAATATACACAGTTTACTCACTTAAAAATAAATGCATAAATAGCTAAATTATATACTATTAAACATCTTAAGTAAGAGTACAGTACACTCAGAAAAAAGGGACAAAACTGTCACTGGGGCGCTTTCAAAAGGTACACATATGTACCATTTAGGGGTAAATAAGGGACACAAATGTACCTTTTAGCTTTTGTACTTTAGGGTACTGCCCCAGTGACAGCTTTGTACCTGTGTAAAGGTAAATTTGAGCATTTGCATATATACACAGATTGCAGTAGATAATTGTAAAAGATGCAATTTTGCCAACTACTGAGATTTTCTCCTCTGTTCGTCCAGATGGGACCTGGAGATGCAATATCAGGCATGAAGTTTAACCAATTCAATACCAATCAGCTGTTCACCTCATCTATTTGGGGTGCTACCACCCTTCGGGATTTCAGTGGATCGGTTGTACAAGTCTTTGCCAAAACAAATTCATGGGAGTAAGCAAGTTATGGCTGTTCTCCCATTTGCTTTCAAAGAAACATAGACCAGACAGAGATTTGAAATGCTTTAAACAAGCATTTTTCCTTAATTTGATCTGATCCTTGTCCATTTCTGTTTATTCGCCTGAATTATAGTACAGTAAGTGTGCAAGTTCAACATCAGTTATCAGTGTTTGATTCAGTTGGCTCTTAAATATGGAGGAACTTGCCTGTGTTTGAAATTTAACACAGTTTTAGTGTTACCAAGATATAAAATTGAGTTCCATGCCATATATAAAGAGGGCATTAAATGTATGTTCTATTCGTGCATATTTTGGTCTCCTGATTGGTATAAAGTTAGATAAACGCTGTGATAGATCAGAGGATGAAATCATGTGATTGTATGTGTGACAGTATGCTCATTGTGCTTTGTCATTGATTATTCTGCTTTTAATTAAACGTAATGTTCTATTAGACTTTAGGTTATCTAAGATAAATCTGTTTTGTCATTAACGTTGTCCTTCAATGTGTGTGGAATGTATTGTAAATGTTGGTATGTTATTGGCTGTGTTGAAGAACATTGTTTGTCTTTATTTCCTTCATGTTGTTGTGTCGGTTTAGTTGCTGTATAAATCTTTAATCATGTTCAACCCATAGTCCTCCCTGTATGTAGATCTAACAAGCCTGTGTTTGTCTATTGTGTCCATGCAGAAGGGAGCTGGTGACTTTATAGGGGGTATGAAGTTCTGCCTCACAGATGTTTCCAAAATCTTTGTTGCTTCTGGTGATGGCACAGTAAGCGTGCAGAGTTTTGAGGGCCTCCAAAGTCAGATATTGTCTCGAACCCCAGATTGTGGCCATGACCACCATGATCTTTGGTGAGGACAGTACTTGTGTGAACTCTTGTGGATTGCCCTGCAGTGTTGGGAAATCAAATATACTTTACATATTTACATAATGCATGTTTATGTTCAGTATTTCATATTGCTGTTCTGTATAGTATAGATCGAGTGTTGATTTGTCTGAGATTGTTTGCCACATTTGTCTCTCAGAAAGTCTCTTGCTTCTTTGAAAAGGTGTGATCACTGGCATTTTATATATATATATATATATATATGTGTGTGTGTGTGTGTGTATTTCACTGCCATTATATCCAGTATAAATTGGATATTATGTGAAGATGTATTTGTGTATAGTTTTAATGCCACAAATGTCACTCTCCCAGTTACTGGTACTGCTGTTTGGATGTGTCTGTTAGTCGTCAGATGCTCGTGACTGGAGATAATACTGGACGACTTCTTCTGCTTGGCCTGGATGGACATGAGGTAAGTGAGGGAAATGTCTAAATCAATTCTTATAGCCAAAATCAAGAATAAAGCTGTCTGATATATATATTTTCAAAAACATTTAGATTTTCAAAGAGAAGCTGCACAAAGCCAAAGTGACCCATGCAGAATTCAACCCTCGTTGTGATTGGCTGATGGCTACATCCTCTGTCGATGCTACAGTCAAGCTGTGGGACCTCAGAAATATTAAAGACAAAAGCAGTTATATCGCTGAATTGCCTCATGAAAAACCAGTCAATTCTGGTGAGAGGCTATATAATCAGTAAAAAGGGAGGGGAAGAAGTAATAAAAATTGTCTCTCAACTGTACAATGCAAATAAATTGAAATTAATTTTCTTTTTCTTTCAGTGTACTTTAATCCAACAGACAGCACCAAGCTCCTTACTACAGACCAGAGGAACCAGCTCAGGGTATATTGTTCATATGACTGGTCTAAACCTTATCAAATAATTATTCATCCTCATCGACAGTTCCAGCACTTAACATCCATCAAGGTAAGAGTTCCTTTAGCCTAAACTGCAAACTTTCCAAGTTGTTATGTAATCAAGTTTACAGGCATATTAGTGATCCAGGACTATTGACATCATAGAGTTTAGTTTGTCTCATTTTTTTTCCCATCAGGCAACCTGGCATCCCATGTATGACCTCATCGTGGCTGGCCGTTACCCAGATGATCAAGTATTAGTCAATGACAAGAGAACTATTGACATTTATGATGCCAACAGTGGTGGGATTGTGCATCAGCTGAGAGACCCCAATGCTGCTGGTATCATATCTGTACGAATGTTTTTACTTCTACTTTTAAATATTTAAAAAATATATAATGTTAATGATTAGGATTCCTAAAATTATAATTACTACTCAAAAGTTTGGAGAAATTATTAATTTCTTTATGAAGTCATAAAGAAATTAATGCTTTAATTCAGTGAGGATGCAGTAAATTGATCAAAAGTGAGAGTGAAGACATTCAGAATAATACAAAAGATTTCTATTGCTGTTCTTTTGAATTTTCTATTCATCAAATAATGAAGAAAAAATTATCATGATTTCCCCAAAAATATTAAGGCACAGTTGTAAACATTGATAAAAAATGTTTCTTGAGTACCAAATCAGCATATTATGTTTTCAGAAGGATCATGTGACGCTGAAAACTGAAGTAATGACTGCTGAAAATTTAGCTTTGCCATCACAGAAATAAATTAAATTTTAAAATATATTAAAACAGAAAACAGTT